GGAGAGAGACGGCATGAGATAAAGAAATAAAGCTTTATCTTTTAAGAACTTTAATAGCAATTCTCCCCTGTCTGTTTTTGGCTGTTGTTAATCCTCACCCAAAGATATTTTTTCCATTGATTTTTTTTTTTTTTTTATAAGAGAGTGGAAAGAAGGGAGGAGGTGGAGAGAGAGAGAGTGAGATAGAGATAGAGAGAGAGAGAGAGAGAGAGAGAGAGAGAGAGAAACACATCAATGTGAGACACATTGATTGGTTACCTCTCAAACATGCCTGAATGGGGCCGGGGATCTAACATGCAACTCAGGTATGTGACCGGGAATCAAACCCATGACCCTTTGATGGGGAAGGGGGAGAGAGGTGACGCTCTAATCATTGACCCACAATGGCCAGGGTTCTCCTCTGCTTTTTGAACAAGGAGCCCCACAGTTTCATTCTGCACTGGGCCCCACAAATTACATAACTGGTCTTGGTCCCATCGCTTCAAGTCATGTCCAAGCACTGATAAAGCTGGTTCCCGTCTCAGGTCCCTTCCCAGTGTGACTTCTCAAGGTTCTGTCATGGGTTTCAATTGAGACCAATGGATTATCTGCCCCTTTGGTAAAATAAACAAAAAATCTCCCAAGCATAGCTCTAACTGGATGGGGAAGTGGAGGTAAAATGACATGGTAGGGGCTTACTCAGAGTCGCAAGGTATGCCACTGACACATAAGCTGACTCGCATCTTGCCTTTAGATCCAATGCCATGGCCTGTCTGCACCCATTTCTACTGACATTTTAGTCTCAAACATCATTTGAAAAATACCAACAAAGTTATTATGTATTGAAACCTTCTGATCACACCCCAGGGACACCACCACAGCCCCATAGGAACAGATAGAGCAAAAGGCTCCAGCCCTCAAGACGTTCTGCACAGAACGTTCCAAGGCCCCAGAGGAGCCCTGTTTTGTTCAAGGTTAAGAGGAGTTGATTAACAGGCCAATATATATGCTGCCTTTGCAGCCTTGGTAAGGATTAGATTCCTGTATCTCCCCATGCAAGTCAGAATATCTTTTCTAATCATTGTATCAGTCATTAGAAATTGTTAAGGAAGGAGATGCTTCCCATCTCTTTCCTTGAATTTCCTTAAATAAAACATGTGGGCCCAGCCAGTGTGGCTCAGTAGTTGAGCGTCCACTCATGCACTAAGAGGTCACTGGTTCGATTCCCTTTCAGGACACATGCCCAGGTTGTGGGCCAAATCTGGGCGGGGGGGCGGGGGACATGCAGGAGGCAGCCAATCGATGTTCTCTCTCATCGATGTTCTTATCTCTCTCTCCCTCTCCCTTCCTCTCTCTCTAAAATCAATTGAGAGAGAGAGAGAGAGAGAGAGAGAGAGAGAGAATAAAACATGCAAAATTAAGTCCAGGCATCTTGTATCACTTGTGTCACGTAGATCCCTACTAATCAGAAGAAACTCCAGTCCAGAACAGACCACAACCATGGGCACTTTGCAACGTGCCTGCACACCCTTTTTGTGGTCCCCTGAAGTCATCCAAATCCATTTTTCAGACTAACATCTCTTGGTACATTCTCAGCTGCCCCCTTGCTATTGTCTGGGAGCCTACCAGGCATAGTACAAGGGTCCACTGAACCTAGCTTTCCTCTAGAAGCTTCACAAAAGCCTTTTGTTCAGCGTTGAGATGCCTTTAGCAACACAGCCAATACCTGCAGGCACTTCTGGGCTAGTCCAAATTCCTTCTAACCTCTCAAACCTCAAATTACTCCAAACCTCTCCCTCTATGCACAGCTGTATAGAGGAGGGTAGATCCTTGAGAGAACATCTTCAGAATGCTCCTGCCTGGAGCCTGCTGGCGTGCTCAGCACTGCAGCCCCGATGGAAAGGTCAGTTGCCTTTTTGTCAAATGAACTTGCAGTAACTGTCTGCTTCCTTTTGGCAGACACGAAAGGGAAAAGATATCTTATGGGCCACAATGCACTTTTCTGACTCGAACAACAATAACAGAGATCGTCTTTCCTTCCCTTTCCATTAAATAATAATTGTAAGAACACATTTAAAATTTTTGTCACTACTTAAAACAATCTTCATGAAATTATTTTAATGAGATGTAAAATGCTTCTGACATAACGGTAAATGGAAATAAAAGCAGGATACCAGAGTTCCTTTGCTTTATGAACAGTTTACATTTATGTGTAGAAAAAAATACAGGAAGGAAATATATCACAATGGATTCCTTGAGGTGGTGGGGGTTAACGGTATAATTTTCTGTTTTCTTCCTTTAACTTTTTTGGTATTTTCTAAAAGACAATACTTTTTTTTTTTTTTTTTATCCTCACCCGAGGACATTTTTCCATTTTTTGTTCAGGTAGAGTGGGAGGGAGAGAGAGGAACAGAGAGAGAGAGAAACATCGATGTGAAAGGAACACATTGAGTGGCCGCCACCCGCACGACTGACTGACCAGAGCCGGGGACAAACTGAAACCGAGGTACGTGCCCTTAGCGGGAACCGAACCCGGGTCTCTCAGGACCGCAGGCTGACGCGCCAACCGCTGAGCCAAACCGGCCAGGGCAAAAGACAATACATTTTTATAATCTAACAAGTTTTGCTAGGATTTCTGCCGTAGTAGTAACCGATTCTATGCATTGTTCAAAAGGAAACCAACATCAGGCTTCTACTTCTCCAGGTGACTTCTATGTGGGTCCTTTCTCTCAGTTGAATTTTTTATACAGGATGCCTATTGTGGCTTTGACAAGACTGCTCAGCTTGTAATACCTTCTTTTCTTTTTTATGTGAAACTTGACAATATTTGGAAATAGCCCTGTCAGAACCTTGAATCAAGGCACTGTATCTCTTTCTCCTGGTTACCAGGGCTGAGAGCTCCCAACAGAATTTTTCAAGTGTAAGGACTCTGGAGTCTAAGACTGGACTCCAGGGAGACAGAAATCTAGAGGATACTGACTTTGTGCAGGAAGGTGTGATGACAAGAACATTGATTTTGGAGTTATATGGCTCCAGAAACATAGGGATTTTTTCCTCTGCAAAACTGATGATCATATTTCTTTTATTGAGTTGTTTTAAAGATTAAAAAAGACAATGTATATAGAGGGCCTAGCATAGTGCACCCAATAAATTATTAATATTAATGGTGAGACCGGGAGAAGACAGCAGAGTGGACAGCTCCTCCACTTCTGCCCCTACCCCCAACACAATGAAGTTTTCCAAAGTGGGGGTGGGTGTGGGGGTGGGGAAGGTGGGGAATGGGAAAGTGGAGGAGCTGTCCAGATCTTAACCCCACCCTGACTGGGCTTGTTTGACCAAGGACAAACATATCTTTGGTTTCACCACGAAAATATAACCACCACTTCCAGGGTGGAAGATCGGCAGTGCTAGCCACAGGCCAGCAGCCAAAAGCATGGGGTGAGGGGCAACCCTAGAATGCCCATGGATAATACTAAATATAAGACTCCATTACCATTCTGAAATCACTACATTAGCGGTCCAGAACCGCCTCTTCCTCCACCCATAGCCACTCTGCCCTTTAACTATTCATCAGGCAGAGCAAGTGTGCCAGGGACTTACAGGAACTAAAGGGAATCATGCTGTACCTTGTGAGGGATTGAAATATTCCACCTTTGCTGTATTTCTTTATCTGCTGCTGTTTTTACTAGAACTGCTATCAGCACTACCATTTCTACAACAACAACTACTATTACTATTAATTAAGTTTGAAAACTACAGTTTTTAAAGTGCCTGGGTTTTGCCGGATGAAAGATAATACTGGACATGGCATTATGGGAAGGCAGGCTGGCACTAGAAACTGCAAAGGGAACAGAGCAGATTTGCACTTAGGAACAGAGCAGAATTTTATATATATATATATATATATATATATATTTTTTTTTTTTTTCCCAATCCCCCAACTGCTTTCGCCCCCAGACACATCCCCAGCCACACCCAGTCCCTCTCCCAACCCTACTCAGCTCCAACTGTCTGTAGCTAATTTAGGCAATTTCAAGGGTTAGGGACTAGGAGTAATTGACTTTTGTTTGGTCAGAGGAGCTGGACCATGCCAAAATCCCACCACTTGAGGTGGGGAAGAAGAGAGAATGCTTTTAATATATGAGGTCATTGCCTGTCAGCATCTCCCACCTTGTAACAGGATGGTCCTTAGAAAGACCCAGACTCTTCCTTTTTTAGGGACTTCAAATTTTCCTGTGCCAAAGTTACACTTTAAGAAATGTCTGACTCTGCCCTCAATCCCCAAAGTGAACTGGGGAATGCACACCTCACCTCTCATCCCAGCTGGGTGAGGACCAGGACTGCACAGAGCGACAATGAGGCAGGGGGAGAGGGAGGGTGCAGCACAGCTCTAGCCCAGCCATGAACTAGGCTCCCTTTGAGATCACTCTCTTCACCTGGCAACGGGGCCCCAGCATAGCTCGGAGAGAAGAAAGTGGCATTTTGGAAACCATTTTGCTCAAGATGCTGAAGGTATCTTGGCAAACTGCCCTTTGCTATTGGGGCCAAGTGAACTTAGGGAAGGGCCTCACCCATAGGGATGCGGTCATTTGCCGGGAAGGTGTGGGCCAGCTCTAGAGCCAATGGTACCTGCCCAGCAAGAGCAGTCACCGGGCATGCAGTGGGTGCGGGTGGCCCACCCTGGCGCTGTTTCCCACATTGGACCCCGGTCCACTGCGGAGCCACAGTAGCTGCAGTCACAGCCAGGCCAGCTGGGTCCCCGTCTGGCTCTGTCCTATTATTTATAGGTGAGATTTACAATGGATGCGGGGAAGGGACACGGGATGACAATGAGTTTTGGAAGGTACAATGCTAAAAGTCACACTTTTCCCAAGGCGCTCCCCCTCCCAGAGCAGCATGGTCTCAGCGGAGGAGTGTGCATTGCGGGCGGCCGCAGTGGTCGGCGGCGACCTGGCGGCCGGGGCCGCGGAACTGGGACCGCGCGGGCGGGAGGCCGCGGCGCGCGGCGCGGCGCAGCTCACCTGCCAGGCTGTTGTAGCAGTCGATCTCGATGGCTTCCACTGTCTTGCTCTGCTCCTCGGAGAGACGGCCGGGGTTGGGGGCCCCGGCCAGAGAGGCCGCACACGAGTCCCGCTCCCGTTCCCCGGGGGCCGGTAGCAGCCCCTTCAGCTCCAGCAACGCCCGGTGGTATTTGCCGATGGCTTCGCGGAATTTCTTGTCCTTGTAGCACTGCGAGCCTTGGCTCTTGAACTCGTGGGCGCGCCGGATGAACTCAGCGGGCTCGGCCGCCGCTCCAGCCTGGCCCCGCGCCGGAGCCCCTCCGCCGCCCGGGACGCACAGAGGCGGCGGCGGCCGCTGCACCTCGCCGGCCACCGGCGGGCTCGGGGTCCCTTTGGTCCCGGCCGCCGAGCCCTTCCTCTCCATTCGGCCGCCGCCCGGTGCCCCACGCGCCGTGATCAGCCCGCTGCTGCCGCGCCTTCCCGGGTTTAAAAGAGGCGGGCGCCTGCCCTGCGTCTGGCAAGCTTGGCCGCAGCCGTGACACCCCGCGGTGGCCTGTCGCCCCACACTCCCATTCTCCCAGCCAGCTGAGGGAGGCTGCTCTCTCCTCCTCCTCCTCCTCCTCCTCCTCCTCCTCCTCCTCCTCCTCCTCCTCCTCCTCCTCCTCCTCCTCCTCCTCCTCGGATTGCCTTCCCCTCCGTCCCTCCCTCCTCCCTCCCCCACTCCCGCGCCTCCCGCCTTCCTCCTTGCCCTCCTCCCCTCCCGAAACCTTCCGGGGGTGGGCACCTGGACCTCGCACACTCTGGGGCTAGCGGGATGGGGGACCGCGGGCCTGCCTGGGGTGGCGGGGACTGTCGCTGACCCGGAAGAAGCTTGGCTCGCCTGAAAGAGGGGAGGATTAATGACAAAGACTGCCCCGTTCTTTCCCATTCAATCCGGTCCTCTGAGACGTATCTCGTGTGAGGGACGAAAGGGGGAAAGGGGGAAATGGGGGAAGAGGGGTGTGTGTGTGTGTGTGTGTGTGTGTAGGGGGGGAAACGCCCGCGACGAAACGCATGCAGACTCACCCTCAACAGATTTCTTACAAGCTAAAAAGAGAGGTGTGGTGAGGAGCAAGGGGCGTAGGCACAAACCATTGCAGTGTTTTTTTTTTCTGTAAGGCATTAATATTTTAGGGTGGCATGGCCTTTTTTGTGTGGATCCAGGTTGTCGCCGAGGTGTGTCTCCGCGTGTGGCCGCCAGAGCGCCCAAGACGCTGCACTTCAGCCTGTGGGGCGTTGTACTCCAGAAGCCGCCGTGTGCTGACACCTCAGTGTGCAGGCAACTGTGCAGAATGAGTCACGGATATCAGAGATGGAAAACACCTGTTACTGTTGATCGTCGGGCTTGGCATGCAGACGTTTTAGTTTCCATTTACAGGACTGTTCGTGCCCCTCCCCAGGATGCCATTTCTTACTTCATTCATTCCTACCTTAGCCCTGCGTGTTGTCTCTCTGCGGAGATTTGTTGAGACCAAGAGGCAAAAATAGGCAAGTGACTGGCCTCTCCAGTTACCTCCCAGTCTACTGGGGGAGAGAGACACCACCCACCCTTAGTCTACAATAAAGGTCGGTAGGTATTACCAGAGAGGCAGGTATTACCAGGGAGGAACAGAAAGTGCTGTGGAGCTCCGATAAGGAGAGAGAGGGATGGCTTTTTAAGTAGTGAGGATCAGAAGGCTTTATGGAGGAAATGGCATTGGAGGATGGGTAGTAAAATTTGGGTATGAGGAAGTAGAAGGAAGTGACATATCATCCAGAGTGAGGAAATAGAGCAGCAGTTATGATGTTTGAAATCTTTTTTTTTTTTTTTTGGTTTGTGCCCCCAGCGGGAACTGAACCTGGGACTCTGATCCGCAGGCCAACGTTCCAACCGCTGAGGCAAAACGGCCAGAGCTGATGTTTGAAATCTTGAGCGTGTTTAGGACAAGGTGGTTTGATTTTGTGGCCTAAACAGAAGTAGTGAGAAATGACTGGGTTAAATTATGGAGGCATTTGGATGAAGAGTGTGGATTTTATTTTGTAAGCAATGGAGAAGCCTGAACTTTTTTTTTTTTTTTTTTTTTTTTTTTTTAGTACTTACACCCTCCTTTATGATGCTAAGATATGTGTGTGTGTGTGTGTGTGTGTGTGTGTGTGTTTTCAAAGTGTGGTTTCCACATCTGCCGCATCAATATCATCTGGAAATCTGTTACAAATGTACATCCTAGGGTCCTGCTCCAGCTCTATTAAAACCAGAAACTCTAGGGGTGGAGCCCAGCACCTGTCCTTTAACAACCCTCTGGTTGGTTCAGATGCACACACAAGTTTGAGAATCCCTGCTGCTCCCAAACCTTGCTGCTCAAAGTGAAGGCCGTGGGCCAGTAGCATCAACACCACCCAGGAGTCTGTTAGAGAAGCAGAATCAGTAAAATCCCAGACCTACTGACCCAGAATCTTTGTTTTAACAAGATCACCAGTTGCTTCTTATGCCTATTTGAGTGTGAGAAGCACTTGAAAGGATTTGCAAAGTACAGAAGCAAACAAAACCCCCAACCTTATACCATCACCCAGATATTCCTTGTTAATATTTTGATGTAATTCTTACAGATTGTTTTCTGCATATCTATATTTGTATCAAGACCTCTTTTAATAAGCATGAGTGGTATGAAACAATACGTACAATTTTCTGTTATTACTTTTTTTTCTTTATTGATTTTTAGAGAGAGAGGAAGGGAGAGGGAGAGAGAGAGAGAAACATCGATGAGAGAGAACATCAATTAGCCACCTCCTGCATGCCCCCCACTGGGGATCAGGCCCACAACCTGGGCATGTGTCCCGACTGGGGATGGAAGCTGTGACCTCTTGGTGCATGGGACGATGCTCAACCATCGAGCCACACTGGGCTGGGCTACTCTTCATTACTTTATATTATATGATTAGTTTTTTAGAGCCTCATTATTAATGGCATTATAATATTCATTTTATATCTGTATTATAGTGTCCTTAACCATTTTCCTATTGAATCCAATTATTTGCTATTATATAGAATACTGAGATAATAAAAATAATAGATACCATTTCTATATAGTGCTTACTTTGTGCCAGGCACTAGATTAAGCACTACATATACAAATTCATGCCCGGCCAGTGTGGCACAGTGGTTGAGCATCGACCCATGCACCCAGAGGTCACTGGTTCAATTTCCAGTCAGGGTACATGCCCAGGTTGTGGGCCAGATCCCCAGTGGGGGGCATGCAGGAGGCAACCAATTGATGTTCTCTCTCATCGATGTTTCTATCTCTCTCTCCTTCTCCCTTCCTCTCTTTCTAAAAATCAATAAAGAAAAATAAAATAAAATAAAAAAGAATTCATTTAATTCTCATAACAACCCAGTGAAATAGGTACTATTATTATCCCCATTTTCAATACCAGTTCATAGAGACTTGCCCAAGATCTCACTGCTAATAAGTAATGGAGCTGGATTTAAATTCAAGCAATTTGCTTTCAGAATCTATACTCTTAACTGTATTTATACTTAACTTTTTGTCCTAATTTATTTTTCCTTATCAGAAATTCTGATGTCAATTTTTTTTTTTTAAATCCGCACCCGAGGACATTTTTCTATTTATCTTCAGATAGAGTGGGAGGGAGGGAGAGAGAGAGAAACATCGGTATGAGAGAGACACATCTACTGGTTGCCTCCCGCATGACTGGACCAGGGCCAGGGATAAACCGCAACTGAGATATGTGCCCTTGACTGGAATCGAACCCAAGACTTTATGGTTTGCAGGCCAATGCTCTAACCGCTAAGCCAAACCGGCCAGGGCCTGATGTCAATTTTTAAAAATGTCTTGAAACATATTGTCAGCCCTGGCTGGTTTGGCTCAGCTGTTGGAGCATCGGCCTGCAGACCAGAGAGTCCCGGGTTCGGTTCCCACTAGGGGCATGTACCAAAAAAAAGAATTGACGAAAGCTACCACCCCGTGAAAAAAATATTTGTTAAAATAAATAAAGAAAAGAAAAGAAACATATTGTCAGTTTGCTTTTCAGAAAGGTTGTACTAACTTGTGCTTCCACCAGCAATGTACTAGTTTCACAACATCCTTGCCAACATTAAGGGTTAAACTTAAAAAAATATTTTCTAATTTAATAAATGAGAACTCTATGATGAATGAACTGGGATCTCTTTAATTATAAGAGTGAACATTTTTCACACGTGTAATGGCCATTTATATAATACAGAGGGCCTTTATTTGGACACAGTCTTAATGTCCTAAATGATACCTTATATGTCACGGTACCTTACTTTTCTGAGTACTTGAACATCTTTAATCTCATTTAATCCTCACCTGAGCCCCAGAGGAGGAAAATGATTTTCTATTCACACAATGGTTTCTGACCAGTGAGACATCATATTAATTTAGTCGTCAAAAGGCGTTGGGCTCAGATAGATGTGGGCTGGAATTCTATCTCTGCTGCTTCCTGGGCAAGTTCTTCAACTTCTGAAAATTTCAAATTTTCTCACTCATTAAACAGGGATACTATTTACTTCATAGAGTTGTTGTGAAGCACACTCTAAGTGCTGAATAGATGGTAAGTTTAATCATTACTCATTAAGTCCTGTCGTTATTGGATCCCATAAACACGTTATGGCAGCTTGGGCTGGTGTTGCTCAGTTGGTTGGAGTGTTGTCCGCACCAAAGGGTCGCAGGTTTGATTCCTGGTCAGGGCACATATCTAGGTTGCAGGTTGTATTCCAGGTCAGGCCGTGGACGGGAGGCAACCAATTTGTCTCTCTCTCTCTCTCTCCTCTCCCTCTCTCCCTTTCTCTCTCTATCTCAACAACAACAAAAAAATCAATTAAAAAAAAAACATACCCTCAGATGAGGATAAAAAAATGTCATGGCAGACTCTGTTAATTCATATTTGCCAACCCCTGGCCTTTTTTACTGTAAGGTATTAGTCAGGTAGAGGAAAGAGAAGACACTGGGAGTTGAGCACTCTGAGTATTTATCATTCACTTCCTACTCAGGGAGGAAGACCTACTGAAGGTAAATATTGGATGAAGATCCAGGCCTGGGATTTGGCTACTGTCAGAAATAAGACATGGGTCATGACGGTCATAACTGTTTAAAGGTGAGAAATACTGATGTTCCAAGTTGCTTTCTGTTTTTCTGCTCTGTCCTGACTTAATGGTACAGTATCTCAGGCTTAGAGTTGGAGTTTCAGGACAGGACTGCAAGAGACATGTAATCCATGTGGTACTCTCCTGTGTATGAAACAGCTTAGCATGACAGCCTAATACTGGCTTGGGTAAAGGAGAGCTTGAGTGAGGAAGGGAGGGAATACTATGGGCGGGGGGATGGAGTGAGAGGAGACTTACTATGCCCATCTGTCTCTCTCAGCAGAGCTGTGTGTGTATGTCTAGAACTGTTTTATTTGCTTGTTTTTAGTATGTTTCTGTCTCTGTCTAAGCCATTCATTGGTAAATGTGTGCTGGTTTCTCAGAAATTGTTTTCTCTCTTCAAATGTAAT